GATTGGGGCAGAATACCCCAGAGTCTGGTAACTAAACGAAGGAGCCACCAAAAAACTTCAACAGGAAATAAATTAATCCATATTTCCGGATTTCCGTCAGTTGACTGTCAATCAATGTCAACAGTAGAAGGGAGTTCCAAAACTCTATACTTCACAGATTCGGTGCCAAAAATAATAATAACGAATGTTGGTGTCAAGAACGCCAGTGGCTCAAGATGGATTAAGCAAAAAATCCCCGAGATGTTAGTCGGACCTCGTTTTGCTTGACCACCTACACAGAAGAGAATAATAATAATAATAATAATAATAATAATAATAATAATGTTTATTGGAGTATTAATACATAATAGAATCAAAATACGAGCAAATAATATAACACAAAAAAAATAATACTCCAAAGGACTGGGGATTGGCATAGCCATTTTTCACCACCGCCTGAATAGCTAAGGTAAATTCATTAAGTGCATTACTATATCTTTCTAGGGTATATCATATACATTACATAAAGGATATTTGGTTGACTGTAATAATGCTAACAAAACTTTAAAATATAATAAGATTAATAATGAGATTTATTCAGCCACTTGTGGATTCATTAAATTGTAACTGCATTCTTTTGAATTCTCTTTTGAAGCTGTGAATGGACGTTAATTTGAAGAAACTTGGGTAATCATTTAGTATACTGGGAGCTATGTAATAGAAACAATTTTTAAATTTTGAGGTAGTGTGGGCTGGTATATTATAACAATATTCATTACGGAGGAACAGTTGATGGAGTGAAGATCTTTTCTCTAATGTGTTAAAAAGATGTTTCGGACATTTATATTTTAAGACCCTAAACAGTAGAACAGCATAGAGAAGTAACGAGCGATATTTGAACTTTTCCTAAACCCAGACTGGCAACACTGTTGATTTCTAGATGCTCACGAAGTTCATCATCTACAATTAGTTTGGACATTGAAGGTAAAGCACTTATTGGTCTGAGGTCCTTAAAATCGATGGCATTATTAACTTTTGCAAGTGGTGTTATGACTGCTTTTTTCCATAATGATGGCACTTCCCCTGTACTCAGTGATTGGTTGATGATACTGGGTAGCTGATATTTACAAAAAGAGAACACGTTTCTCAACATGTTTGTAGTGATAGCATCAACACCCGCAGCTTTTGACTTGACTTCTTTCAGTTTTAGTTCAACTTGGTCTGATGTAACATGATTAAATGAAGACTTGCATACTATAGAATTTTTTTGATATGAGAATGTGGTAAGAAATAAGTCATCTGGCTGCAGGTTTGGTACAGAGTTAATAAAGTGATTAGTGATCCGTTCAGCGTTTTCAATGTCCTGTGATATGTGTTTACTAGATTTTGTGTGTATATTCCACCTGGAGAAACTATTCCACATCTGTTTAGGATTATTGTAATACTTATTAAGCTGGAATTTTATGTAAGCAGTTTTTTCATTCCTCAAAGCTATTCCTAAATAATTTCTCAGATCATTATAATATGCACGATGTTCTTCATTTCTGGTTTTTCTGAACTTGTTGTATGCTTTCCGCTTCAAATTTATTATACACTTGATTGTATGTGTCACATATAAGGTCTGTAGTTCTTACGTGAAGTAATTCTTTTCAATGGGGCATGTATATTGTAGAGCATAATAATAGTTTCGGTAATGTGAAGAACTTTGTCATCAAGACTTGGCAAATCATCTATGTAGCTCCATTCCACAGAAGCAGCTAGCATTGTTGGCAAACTCAACGTGATCGAAATGCGAGAAATCTATATAGTAAAATATTGCAGGTGTGTATTCCGGAGTTTCAATTTCCAACTTACAGAAGCACAATCTGTGATCAGTGACTTCTGGCATGTCTAGAGTTCCACACTCGTGAATAGTGAGTGTATTTGTTGTAAAAATGATATCGATCATTGTTGCTGTATTTGCTGTTATTCTTGTTGGTTCATTAATTATGCGGTTCATGTTGAATAGAGACATCATTTGCAAAAATTGTTTGCTTTGGCCAGCATCCTCATCGGTGAGGTCGATGTTGGTATCGCCTAATAGTATTGCTTCATCATGTGTGATGTATATAAAGGCAAGGATATTTTCCAAATCAGATAGAATGTTCAGTCGACTGGTCGGTAGATAACACCTACTGCAATACTCTTGCTCTCGAATTTTAGTGACAACCAAAGATGTTCAATGCCATTTGAAGGAATATTACGAAGATCTATAACTCTGTACTTTATGCTAGACTGGATGTAAAAACATACACCACCACCTATTTCTTCTCTATCGTTTCTTATAAGCTGGTAGTTAGGCAGAGAAATCAAATCAGAGGGGAAGTCTGAAGAAAGCCAAGTCTCAGTTAACGCTATGATGTGGAAATCTTGTTCTAGTATGGTGTCTGCTAACATATCGAATAGTGACCTATCATTGACATGGGATTACTTACAACTCTTGCACTGTATGAACTGCCCAGTTCCTTGTTGACTACATCGTTTATCTTTTGGACTCCATTTTTATCTGTACATGAGATTTTCAGGGTACCATTATCAGCTTGCTTAACTCCGGTTACCTTCACATTTAACTCGGCGGGCTTTAAAATTTTCAAAACGTCATTTTTCGTTTGTAGTGCTTGCTGTATCTCTTTAGGTTTGGTAATAACGCTGTTTGAGTATTCGTTTCTCACCACTGAACTGTACTGTGGTCTCACTTTGTTTGTGTCGTCAGTTGTAATATTAGTATCAACTTGTTCTACTGATTTGACCGTTTGAGTTGTTTCGCCACATTTTTTGCTTATTATTTCAATCTTCTCGTAGAGTAAGTCAATTTTTTCATATAATTCTTCAATTACAATATCTGTTGCTTTAATTACTTCATATTTTGATATGATAAGCTGTTCGTTGACTTTTATGATATCATTGATTAACTTTTCGTTGGTATTAACACTTTTATCAACATTTTCTCCTTCTTCCGAGTTCTTCTTGCTTTTATTTCGTGTACTTTGGCTCATGAGTTACACTTCTCTACTTGGCTATTTTCTGGTACTATGTCGATAGACTATAGACTCTTCTTGTGTGCTTTGTCACTTACTTGGCACACATTCCAAAAATATCAAAAATATCGGCAAAGATGATTGAAGATTCTAATACACCATCACCAACAACACGAGCATCTTATTTTATTTACTCCAGCTGGTATCTTCGTTGTTAAAAGCCTTTATCTTTTTCTCAGGATTCACAGGTATTTATACTAATGTAGTTGTAGTTAGCATACAGTAAGCAGTTGATGTGCAATGACGAAAACTAATTAATTGTACAGGGAGCCAAATAAAACAAGATATCAAAAAAATCACAATATCTTAACCAATAAACTACTAAACGTCTACCCATGGTATACAGTTTACAAGTATCAATGCGCCTAAATCTAATCTTAGCTTGACGGCGGTCTTCTCCCAGTCAAGTCTCCAGGCGCAGCCAGGATGATCTCAGCTCGTGTTCAAAATTTACGGTACTGATAAAAAACCTAGAGAGAAAAAGACTGCTTAAAAAGAACGGTAAATACGTTAATAAATTCACAATGCTTAAAGTTCCTCCAACATAGGTATTCGTCGACTTAGTATCATATATTCTTTCATGTTTTGAAACATAAATGTACAGAAAGCTTACGGCAATTTATTTGATTCTGTACAGAGAATATTAGCAAGAATTGAACACACCTGTAAACATGAATAGTAAAACTACTATTGCATCATTTGGCCATTTTAAGCGCGATGGCACAGTAAGTATCATTAAATGCACATGTAACGCGTTATACTAGGCGCTTATACAGATATATTAATAAAGATGCGGAACTGAAAAGCAGTTTGTGCACCCAAAAATAGACCAGTGCAATGAACTAGTAGTGTTTTGTTGTGTGTGTTTGTGTTTACTGTGCATTCGGCGACATTTTATTTTGTAATTAAGGATGTGGATTCGTACTGAGGTGAAAATAACTGGGTAATTACGAGTATTACTAGCCGATTGCGCATCTCGAGTAGCAAAGTGATTCGTGGAAATGTAAACTGCATTCAGTTTTTGTATATGGTGCATTAGAGTATAACTTTCGTAATATTATTTGATGCTTAGATGGTAGAGAAGTGTTTCATTTAGTCCTCACTTCAGTTCTAATTTAACAGCCAGACAATTGTTAAGATCACGCAGGAGCATGGGACCTACAACGGAATGTGAGATGGCTCCAAGGCAGAAAAAAATCCGGGTACCTACTTAGCCGTTAGAAAAGATGGAGCGCGGTGGGATGAGTAAATGCGGAGTAGTAGATGCGATGGCATTGTTCAATTTTTCCTCAATCTCTCTTTTAAAATTCCACCATTCGAGAATACAATTTTCATGCCCACCAAGAACAAAACTTGATTCAGTGGGGAAGCTTAGCATACTGCTTATGAATATAGATATGAAAAGATCCTTGAGTTGTCTACGATTTTTCGGATGAGCGCATCCACAGCAGCATACTTGGTAGACCACAACTTGGAAAAAAAGGAAAATGGGCGCCGGCGGGATTTGAACTCGCATCTGCACCATTCCTATATTCGTATACAGGTTACTGACCTCGCACGGTGGTACCGTGATGAATGCCTACGAGTCGGTGTGGTGAAACTAGAATCTGGTTTTTTTAATTTGAACGCCGCCAGAAGGTGCATCAAGCAGCTTGAAAGGAACATAGGAACAGTGGCGTAGGTATAATCAAATCTGCTTCAATCCTGAAAGTTGGTCGGCAGCTGTTGCTGTTGACTAATTGGTTAGGTCGACTCCACGGAATGGAGGAGATGCGGGTTGGAATCCCCAGGCGCCCATTTTTCCTTTTCTCTCAAGTTGCTGCTTGCTACTCCTGTAAGACTTGATCTATTTAATTCCTTTGTTATACGTGTAAACTGATGAGCCCAGGTGACGCCATATTTCAACTCAGTTATTTTCAAATTAACCTATAATCCTTGTTGCAGCACAAGCACTCGAGCAGCTCCCTGCTAGCAGGCAAAGCCCACTTTCACGGGGCCCAGTATCACGTTGGCTCCAGCGGACATCACCAGAGGTCGCAGTCGCTGCGCAGCGCGGTGGGAGGTAGCGCGGGCGGAGGCGACATGTGGTGACAACAGCGGCAGGCGGGCAGCACCGCGCAGTCGGGGACCGGTGGCTTTGGGCCTGGAGGGCAGTGCCAGTGCTCGGCGGGCGCGCAGCAAGCTTCACATTCAGCTATGGGGAACAAACTCAGCTGCAGCTGCGCGCCCATACTGCGCAAGGCGTACCGGTATGAAGACTCGCCGTGGCAGGGCGTCCAAGAAGAGAGACGGACCCTTGTTAAGGTACTTGCAAACTTCTACTTACAGTTGGCAGGGTGCGCGATAGCCATACAGGGCTTCGATAGTCCGGTCTGAGGGCAGGCGGGCGGGGGGAGTTGCTTCGCGGCGTCCGGTGACGTTGCACCGGGCATGGCTGCGTCCGGCGGCCGGCTCTGCTGACTTCGTCGAGGGCCGGCGGGCCGTCTGAGGCCCGCTGGCTTGCCCTCGGGGCCGGCGGCCTCCGTGACGGCTGCACCGGCGGGCCGGTGGTCGGCGGGCGGGGGGCTGCGGACGGCGGGCCTGGCTGTCATCTTACGTCTGACGGTCCGGCTTGCCGGCGGGCCGGCTTCCTGTTCGTCTTCCTTCGGGCGCGGGCCGGCGATGGCTTCTGTTTCTTGCAGGAGCTTTCCTTCTTTCCTTCTTTCCTTCTTTCCTTCTTCCTTTCCTTCTTTCCTTCTTTCCTTCTTTCCTTCTTTCCTTCTTTCCTTCTTTCCTTCTTTCCTTCTTTCCTTCTTTCCTTCTTTCCTTCTTTCCTTCTTTCCTTCTTTCCTTCTTTCCTTCTTTCCTTCTTTCCTTCTTTCCTTCTTTCCTTCTTCCTTCTTTCCTTCTTTCCTTCTTTCCTTCTTTCCTTCTTTCCTTCTTTCCTTCTTTCCTCTTTCCTTCTTCCTCTTTCCATCTTTCCTTCTTTCCTTCTTTCCTTCTTTCCTTCTTCCTTCTTTCCTCTTTCCTTCTTTCCTTCTTTCATTCTTTCATTCTTTCCTTCTTTCTTTCTTTCCTTCTTCCTTCTTCCCTTCTTCCCTTCTTTCCTTCTTTCCTTCTTTCCTTCTATCCTTCTTTCCTTCTTTCCTTCTTTCCTTCTTTCCCTCTTTCTTCTTCTTTCCTTCTTTCCTTCTTTCCTTCTTTCCTTCTTTCCTTCTTTCCTTCTTTCTTCTTCCTTCTTTCCTTCTTTCCTTCTTTCCTTCTTTCCTTCTTACTTCTTTTTTTCTTTCCTTCTTTCCTTCTTTCCTTCTTTTCCTTCTTTCCTTCTTTCCTCTTTCCTTCTTTCCTTCTTTCCTTCTTTCCTCTTTCCTTCTTTCCTTCTTTCCTTCTCTTCCGTTTTCCTTCTTCCCTTTCCTTCTTCCTTCTTTCCTTCTTTCCTTCTTCTTCCTTCTCACCTTCTTTCCTTCTCACCTTCTTTCCTTCTCACCTTCTTCCCTTCTCGCCTGCCTTTCTTCTCGCCTTCTTTCCTTCTCGCATTGTTTCCTTCTCGCGCCTTCTTTCCTTCTCGCCTTCTTTCCTTCTCGCCTTCTTTCCTTCTGGCCTTCTTTCCTTCTCGCCTTCTTTCCTTTCTCCTTTTCTCTCTCCTTTCTCCTTTTCTCCTTTTCTCCTTTTCTTCTTTTCCTCCTTTTCTCCTTTTCTCCTTTCCTCCTTTTCCTCTCCTTTTCTCCTTTTCTTCTCCTTTTCTCCTTTTCCCTTCCTTTCTTTCCTTCTCCTTTTCCTCCTTTCTTCTCCTTTTCCCCTTTTTCTCCTTTTCTCCTTTCTCCTTTCCCTTTTCTCCTTTTCTCTCCTTCTTTTCCCTCTCCTTTTCTCCTTTTCTCCCTTTTCTCCTTTCTCCTTTTCTCCTTTTCTCCTTTTCCTCCTTCTCCTTTTCTCTTTCTCCTTTTCTCCTTTTCTCCTTTTCTCCTTTTTCTCCTTTCTCCTTTCTCCTTTCTCCTTTTCTCCTTTTCTCCTTTCTCCTTTTCTCCTTTCTCCTTTTCTCCTTTTCTCCTTCTCTCCATTTCTCCTTTTCTCCTTTTCTCCTTTTCTCCTTCTCTCCTTCTCTCCTTCTCTCCTTCTCTCCTTCTCTCCTTCTCTCTTCTATCCTTATCCTTATCTCCTTCTCTCCTTCTCGCTTTCTCCCCTTCTCCTCTTTTCTCCTTCTATCCTTCTTTCCATCTTTTCTTCTTTACTTCCCACCTTCTTTCCTATTTTTCTAGAGATATTCTCCACTTCTCATCGTTACTTTTCTCTATACCTCTTTCTTTTGGATCGGTCTTAAAGCGACTTTTGGGAGAAAATTGAGAATTCGAGCATTTGTTAAGTTATGTGTAATCCATGGCACACTCTGTACGGAAGTCCAATGGTAAAACGGAAATCACCCGTTTCCCCGATACGCGATTCGAACTCTATCAACTCGCTATCTTAAACCCCAAATTCAATTTTTGTCAACACCTCGTCTCCCTCGCTCATGTTCATATATGCATTAATGGCCCCGAGAAAAGCTCTATCAAAATTCATTTCATGTTCAACGTTCACGTCAATATCGATAGTGCAGCCATTGAGGTTGGCTTCATGAATATTACTGCCGACATGGAGGCGGATGAGGAAGAGTGTTTGGTTAGCCTGGGATATCGTCGCCGATATTTAGAAGGATTATATTCAAGCACGAACGCTTGCTGTGAGGTGATGGCTTCAAAATTTGGGGCAGGGTGGTGATAGCGGAAGGTACTATGAGAAAATTGGCATAGGTGACTTGGGTACGATTTAAGAATAGAATAAATAAAAGAAAAAATACTTCAATAGAAACAGGCATTTATATAGCTGTAGAAATAAACTAAAAATTAAGAAATCATTTTTTCTATTAAAAATCGGTATGCCAATTTGCATCAGCCACCATATTGGACTTAAAATGACGTCACTTACTGTATTTTTTACTAATCAAGCCCTCTAAATAAATTAAGAACAACAAATGAACCCTAGTTCATCGATTTCTTTGTTCTTGGAGCGTCCAACCATATTTTTTTAAGTTGTTGGTTCACTGTTTACCAACTTTCTGACGTTTGCGAATAAACCTAACCTCACTTACGCTATTCTATGCATTGTATTCATTGTATACGCAATGTATACATTGTATTCATTGTATACGCATTGTGTACATCGAGACGTAGACAATTAATGTATACGTGTAAACGCCCATCACTGATGGAGGGGGCCCTTGCATTTTCTGGGACACCCTGCGTTTGTTTATTTTATTGGCGTGTTTCTCCCTAATGTGATGTAATGACTGGCCCTATATGGAAGTTTCTTAGTCTCCTCCTTTGCATACACGTACGTCATTCCTCATCCTTTTATCGACTATCAAGGGTAGTAAAGGATAGTCAAACGGTAATAAGAGGTTCTTATTGGCGATAAAATGGCTGTATCAAGTGAAAGTAACAACTTTATTGTCTGTTGGACGACTCGAGTGATTGCCAGCTATTAAAAGCAGCAATCGATGAGATCTTGTTAAGCAGTATCTGGATGCAATCGATATCTTTACGTAACAGGCACTTAATTAAAAGGAATTCATGCCTGTCATTTTTAGGCGCAGTAGCTTGATCATCCTCGGCTGTTTTTACCAACCTCGAACACCAACACAACCGTTATTAAAAAATTAAAATTAATAGAATCATGCCTACTAGCTAAGGGCCGTATCGTCAGTCGTTCCTACAATTGTAGGAGGCCTTTAATTTCAAGCTGATAAAACATGATATATCTGTAAATCAGAAGCATGAACCATTTGATGTAAATATACTAAGTGACATATAAATCCGAACACAAAGTTTAAATGGTTTTATTTTAATAAAAGTTGGTGAATGTATTTATCTTACTGTAAATAACAAGTGAAAAAATTTACAGCCTTATCAGTTGGACATTCCGGTTATTATACTGCTTTTTTTTAATTCATTAACGCTCTAAAAATGAATATTTCTGCCGCAGTGAAGAATCAACGTTGGCGGATTTTGGTTCTTGACATCCTTTACGATCGGTTACGATGCCTAGACTACGGAGACCAGTACGATTTCGTCAACTTAGTGAGTTTGATAGGGGCCGTATAGTGGGACTTCGGAAAGCTGGACCTTCTTTTCGGGCAATTGCAGTTAGAGTGCAAAGAAGTGTAGACACTGTGGTTAGGTGTTGTCAGGCATGGCTTCGAGAAGGCCGTACGCAAAGAGCAAGGGGCACTGGACGCCGCCGTAGAACAACAGACCGTGAAGATCGCCGCCTAAGATTATTGGCCTTAAGGGACCGTTTCTCCACTACCAGGTCCATTGCAAATGAATGGTTTGCAGAACACGGAAGACCTATTGGCATGCGAAGTGTTTACCGACGTATGAGAAGTTTTGGCTTGTTTTCATACCGGCCACACTGGGTCCTCCCTTTAACTCGAGAACACCGACGTAATCGCCTTGAGTGGTGCAGACAACGGTCACTCTGGGAGATCAGGAATGGAACAGTATTGTCTTTAGTGACGAGTCTCGATTTTGTTCAGGCATGCACGATGGTCGTGCCAGGGTTAGAAGGCGACGTGGTGAAAGGAGGAATCCACTGTTTTTTGTTGAGAGACATGTTCATCACACTGTTGGAGTTATGGTTTGGGGTGGTATCGCTTATGGTTCCAGGTCACCTTTAATCTTCATCAGAGGTAACATGAACGCGTAGCGTTATATCCACGAAGTTTTAGAACCCCATCTTTTACCCTATCTTGACACCCTGGCAGATCCAACTTTCCAACAACATAATGCCCGACCACATGTTGCAAGAGTCACAATAGACTTCTTTCAACATAATGGTGTCTTATTGTTACCATGGCCACCAAGATCTCCCGACTTATCCCCAATTGGGCACGTGTGGGATATGATGGGTAGGAGATTGCTCAATTTGCAATGTCCTCCTCAGACTCTAGAAGCACTTAATAATAAAGCATTTAATAATAATAAAGCATTTATTGCCCAACAGTACAGGTACCATTTAGAGAGCAATACATAATACAATGGTTTAATTTACACAGTCTGTGTGTCATAAAGTGAAACAAAAATAAAAAAAACACACAGAAAAGAGAAAGGCGCTTTAAGTAGAGAAAAAAGAAACTATAAATATGATCAATAGATATTAGGAAACCAGAATATACTGGTATATACACAAATATCCATATACACATACACACATATATGAGTATACACATATACAGGTATACATATATACACATAAATACATACATACAATACATATATATATATACATATACATATACAACAAATGAAAACCCCTAGAGAAAGGCGTAAAAAAGTCAAAGATGTGAACGTATAGTACTTCGTAATTCCTGAAATCCACAACAGAAGATATCACAAAAACTCACAATCCTATTCGCATTATTGCACATAAAGTTTATTGGTGCTTTAGATAGAAGATTTGTCTGCGCCCTCTTGCAGTAAAAGGAAACCTTATATTTAGATGTCAATCTAGGTACCAGGAAATTAATTTGCGATAGCAAAACAGGACAGTCGATGTTACCATGCAGTAATTTGTATAAAAATATGATGGACGCCTGTTCTCTGCGCTTTTCCAAAGATGGGATGCCAAATCTATTCAGTAATTGTGAGTAGTCACATCCTCTTGGAGGATAGACACCATCACTCCTATAGCATAGATATTTTAGAAATTTCTTCTGTACTTTTTCAACATTAGTTTTGTACAGTTTATAGATAGGACTCCAAATAATTGCACCGTATTCTAATTTACTTATAACAAGCACTGAAAATAACTTAATAAGCGTTGTGTTATCGAAATTTCTACAATTTCTGATAATAAAGCCATATTTGCGATACGCATTACTTATAATTTCACTGATGTGGTAGTTAAAAGTGAGCTGACAATCGAAGTAGACGCCCAAATCTCTGAAAGTTTCACACCTTTCCAATACAGAATCATCTATTTTGTATGGGTAAGTTAAAAATTTGGCTTTCCGGGTGAAGGTCAAAATGCGGCATTTAGAATTGTTCAAATACAAATTGTTATTAACACACCATGTTTGTAAAATAACTAGTTGTTGTTGGAGGTTTTCACAATCCTGCCAGCTAGAAACACATGCGTAAAGCTTCAGATCATCAGCAAACATAAGCTTCTTGCATGATAATGTGCTGCAAAGATCGTTAACGTATAAGGCAAACAGTAGAGGGCCCAAATTAGAACCTTGAGGTACACCACTACTTGGCATATATTTATAAGAACTAAATCCATTATAGAATACATATTGAGTTCTCAAGTCTAGATACGACTTGAGAAGATCCACATAAGTTCTGTTGAATCCCATGTGTTCAATTTTTTTTTTCTTCGAGAGGAGTTGGTGGTTGACTGGAATGAGATACCACAGGAGGACATTGACCACCTGATCAGAAGCATGCCTAGGCGCGTTGGAGAATGCGTAGCACATCAGGGTGCATCCACACATTATTAAAGGTCAAAGGGCGTTAAAGCAGTGCAATCATTTTGAAATTTTTATCATTTACTTATTATGCTTTATTAAGTACTTATACAAAATTTTATTAAAATAAAACCATTTAAACTGGGTGTTCGGATTTATATGTCACTTAGTATAGTTATTGTGACAACCTCAAGATATAGCGCCGACACGGAAAAGTAGAAAACTATGAAGATCAAGGACGCCGTAAAGGAGTTCTACAATTGTAGGAACGGCTGACGATACGGCCCTAATCTATCACTTGTTTCCGATAATTAGGGTCACATTGAAGAATGAGTGCCGTTTGAGGAATCTCCTTGGATTTCAAACAATAACAATCAAACAAACCAAAATATTTTTCTTGTTTGTCATGTAACAATTTTGAAAATTATGAAAAATGCGAAAATTTTGAGAATTTTCGAGTATTTTGAAAATGGAAATTTTGAAAATCTCAAACAAATTGGAAAATTTTGATAATTCGGAAAATTGGAAAGACTATTATACATTGAAACAAATGGCCACCGTAGAGGTGCTGTTCCAATTTCCAGGTTATGGGCCGAGGTGTTTCACGTGTCAGCGTCGGGTGCCGGCACAGTGAAATGGCAACAGGTGAGCGAAGACTTGGTGCCTGTCAACATCACTTGCATACAAGACTCTCCGGAATGCGTCTTCCACATCACGGCCTACAACTCACAGGTGGACAAGATCCTGGACGTGCGGCTTGTACAACCAGGTCAGTAGCATTTATAATCCCCAAAAACAGACCTATCTAAACTGTAACCATCGAAGAAACAAAGTAAAATCAAACATATACACCCGTATTGCACGTGATCAAGAACTAAACCGTAGGACACGCTACAGGGCCGTATCAAGCTATTGTGACTGATCTATCAAAAAATGTCGTACAAGATATGTGTTGCTGTAAATTCTATCAAAAGCATAGTAAATTATCAGGAATATACCACACCTTTCTAATCATATTTCGACATTAGGAATCAGTGCAAAAAATTCTGTATTCACCATTTCAGCAAAATGTTACTAAAACGCACACGAAAAAAACTTGTGGACCATCTCAATTGAAATTGTTCATATTTTATTATTAACTTACATATATACCCAATAATATTTACAAATCAACCTTCTATTCACAATGCAGAGCAAATTTTTTTGAGCAAATAGAAACTACAGACGTAGTAGTAGTAGTACAAAAGTTTATTACAGACTCCATAAAGTTTGTTAGTTTGATTGCTATTAAAATTTACATGAGAAATAGGAAGAAGGTCAAAATGGCACTATTATGATTTGGAACTCCTAAATTAACCCTAATTTTGTGTATTTATAAATTTGGAATTTCCACATTAATAACTAGAAACTTACACTTTGATTGCAGTCTATAATGAACTTACCTGTCTTGCCAAAAAGCCCGTTAAACTGCCAGTCTTAATGGTATCAATCGATTTATATGCTGTATTCCGAGGAGCTTGAATCATCAGAATTGTTGATGTCAATTATAAGGGGTTCAACTTGGGTGTCAATGATATTGTCCATATCCCACATTTTGGTTTCAACCTTCTCTTGGACATGGTCAATACATGTTCTCCATTTTGCTGGCGTAATTCTATCGACAGCAACATCAAATAGTTTTTTAAGGTCAGAAAACTTAAAAGTGCTGTTATTTGACGCCACGTTTTGCTTGATGTCGGCCCAAATCAACTCGATAGGATTCAGTTCGCAGTGATAGGGAGCCAGCCTGAGAATCGTTTTATTTTGGTTTTTGGCCATTTCGTCAACAATTTTTAAATCATATTTATACTTATGTCGCTTGACAATATTTATCAGCTCAGCTTTGACCATTGTTTGGTCGGAGTCGATCTTCTTTGAGACAAGCCACTGTTGAATGTCTGCCTTTTTGGTGGCCATTGTTGGAATTTTTTCCAATTTTCTGGAGTGGTACGGGGCATTATCCATCACGATAATTGCGTTATCATCAAGTGTCGTCAAAATTTTTTTGAACCAATTTTCAAATGAGTTACCATCCATTTCTTCGTGATAGTCTCCAGTTTTTTTGGATTCAAATGCCCACAATGCTTCAGGAACAAATCCATCTACGCTACCTATGTGGCAAATGATCAGGCGTTTTCCCTTGCCTGAAAGTAATTAGTTATTTTACTTCTCAGCGAGCGCACTAAATGACGAAATTAAGCAACTTACTCTTTTTAGGTTAGTGTAGGATAGGGTCTTAGATTAGTTTTTGGGTGAAGGAAATACTCAGAAACTTGGATGAGATAGCAAAACTGAGTTCAGAGCTTCCAAATCAGTGATTCGATCAGAAAATGAATTATCTGCATCCAAAAAAGTTCATATACTTCGAAACTTACCTGCAGGATTTTTCAATCCCGTCGAAAGGCCATCTAAAAAAGCCTGCCTTGAGGACCTCACAGATCTGTCTACCCAAACCTTTCCCTGCGTATGCCCCGCGTTCACCCATGTTGCGTCTAAATAATAAATTTTTCTTCCTTCAGCGCGGAATTGCCTAATTTTTCTAAGGTATTCTCTCCTCCAGATAACAATTTCCTCCTTTTCTATCAATAAACTATTCCTTCCTCTTTTCAAAAATCGAAAGTCTAGTTCTTTCAACAGCTTATGGAACGTAGATCTTTTAAAATTTGGCAGGTCCTCATCATCATTCACTTGCTTCAATATTTTATCTATTGTAGGTATTTCATTCCTGAAGAAAAAGTGATGTACTTTTCTTCTAATGGCACTTTTGTCAAAGTCATCTATTTTTTCGATGATTTTTTTTTCTCGCTGGATATGTTTTTGGCTCAGATAGTGAGTGATTTTGTCTATATTCCTTCAAGATTTTGTAAACACTTGATCGACCTACTCCAGAAATTTCAGCAACCTTACATACGATATTTTCTATAGCCAATCCACTATTCTCTTGCATGTGGTTCTTGTAGATATTTAGAATAATTTGTTTTTCACCTGCGCTAAGATGAAGCTTTTTAGCCCTTTTGCTGGGTGGCGTTAAGCTGATTTCAACCACTTCATCAGCTGTATCTGTGTCAGACATTTTAGACTAATATTAAATTTCCGCAAGAAAAATCAAGTCAAGACGTGCATAAAACGTTCGCGCTCATAAACGGGTATCCGTAACTGATTACAATCCTGTGCGTGGTGACGAACCATCAACGTGACGCTGAGAGTTCCCTCTACTATGCAGCGTTGCCAGGCTTAATGTCACAATGATCATGTTTTATTCGGAAAATTGTCAGAAATCGCCGAATGTTGAACAGAAACATTACAAGAAGTCTAACCTTGAAATGTGAGGCTACAAATCGATATTCTTATAGGGGGGAAGGGTAGGGAGCTGTTATGGTTCCTATTAACCTTGGTGAAAGTTGGAAACGGTAATATCATATATGGCATACATTCGGTTGAAGGTGTGTGCACGGAAAATAGATTGCGGATAGGATTTTAATAGATAAATCTGCACAAAAAAACACAAAAGGAGATTTTTGTATTTCCCTGAAGAATATCTCAAGATTATTTCAGATGTACTCATCGAAACTTTATGGAAGGATTATCGAAACCTTATTTTCAATTGCAATAGGGCCACATACCTCGACATCGCATTAATGTGAAAAATAAGACAATAGAAAAAAGTTCCCTCACTGATGCTATCTCTTAGGAAAAATTTAACTATAAAGATTGCACAAAAATTTTCTTCACCTTTTTGAGCTTGTTTTCGCATCTCCGTATATGCCGTTCATAATTTGCTGCAGATCAAATTGGAATATACCTTTGTGATGCCATTTATTGTTATATAATGTCCTTTACAACAGTTATTGCACGTATTGCACCAACAGATTGATTTGTGATCCATGCGAATGTGATCAACCGCTCTGGCGAAAACTCGCCGAGCGTGGCAACCGTGCGACTTTGTCTGAAGGCTCGTCGCTACAAGCCAATCAGGAAGAGGCCGACAGAGCGCCATGGCTACCGATCACGCGTTGATCACGAATCAACCACTGTTTGCGATTACTTTGTAGCTTCGTTAGATACACTTTAGGTAGCTTATTGTTTAGCAAATACAATTCATTGATACTGAGATTAAACTAGTCACTACAATTTCCTAAAAGGGAGTACCAAAGTAGAGTCTAGATCAGTTTTCCGTTAGCTTTCTGAAGCATTTGGGGCATTTACTCTAATCGAGATGAATGATCTTTGTGGACCATCAAATACTGCCAAGTAAAATCTAGAGTCATTTGTTGCTAACTTTTACAAACTATTATAATCTTAGATACTGCCTAATATGGCAGGTGGTCGGAACCGAGTATGCAACTTCGCTGAATCTGTGCTTTGGACGGCATTTTAGTGCCTTGCTAGAGACAAACTGATCTCTGGACTCAACAACTGCAAAAACATAATACAACATAACATAACATCGTGTATAGAAGGCTTTCTCTAAAGATTTTTGTCATATGACCATGCCTTTTTTTAAAATGATGCTTGTGAAGCAGAAACTGTAGAATGTAGAGCGTGCGATTTAACACCATTAGATTTCTTCTTAAAGGGTTATTTAAAGTCAAAGGTCTATGATAACAAGCCCACAACCACCCGTGCATTACACGAGGAGATTAAACAGTCCATTAACGAAGTTCTGCTATCATTATGCAGAAAGGCCATGAAAAATTTCGACAAAAGAGTGCGTATGTGCCAGCAAAGGCGTGGAGGCCAATAAAACCGTGTTTTCTATTTAATTCAAATCGCGTTAATTTTGGGACACCGTTTACATAGACAATAAGAAACAACAGCATATTTCTTCAGTATACAAAATATCTACTTCTTAGAAAAGAGGTGAAATATGAGGAGGAGGATAGGAAAGTATTATTATCATTATGAAATATTGGACATATAAGCACTATGGTTGTTTATATTGTCATTTAGAAATGCATATTTAGATGGAAAAAATTCTTTTTCTTGAGTTTGGCCTGTTGCATAACCAAACCAATACAATTAATCATGATGGCGTTTGTTTTTCTTCCAGGAACTCGCATTGGACAAGCTTCAGACTGCTTCGTGTACTGGAAAGACCCGATGACAAACGACACTTGGGGTCTGAACTTCACCTCCCCGATAGACGCCAAACAATTTAGGGACTGTTGTGTAAGTATTACATTCAATCTAAACTTTAATTGCCTCTCTAGCGCTCACCACGGACTGCGTTTACAACAAAAATGGAATTTTCGTTCCTCTTGAAACTATTATGTTACAAATCAATAGCTAATTCGTCATATACAGGGTGTTTCAGTTTATTGTTGCATAACTTTAAGATTCGATAGAACTTTTAAAATGAATGCATAAAGTCTATATAAACATGGGTCGAAAAATGCGTGGCTTCCGAAATACAGGGTGTTTAAATTTACTTTATAAAATAGTTTGTTTTAAATATTTCGAACAATATTTGATGTATAACAGTGAAAATTGGTATACAAGAGTTTTTTGGTACGACAAAATGAACCATGGGCATAGTTTTACTGTAGCCGCTAGAGGGCGCTCTCTACCGTACCTGTAGTGTATTAAAATTACCGAAAATTTTTTCTTAGTGAAATTTTTTACTTTTTGAATAAAAAAACTGATTCTTCGCACTTTTCAACATAAAAAAGCTATCCTGTGAGTTTTCGTTATAGTTAGCCGTTTTTGAGATATTTCGATTTTTAAGGTTCCATGCATTTTTAATTATTTATGGGAAAATGATATTTTTTATTAAATTTTCGATTTGGGCATTACAAGTAATTAAGATGATCGTTTAGATTGTGTTTTTAAATACAGCAATAAATCCAAACTCCAAATAAACACAAAAAAACAGAATATTAATTTGTTTAATTTTCCAATATTATTTTTAACAAATTAAATTAATTACTTACAACTAAAATGCTATTGGATAGTTAGGACAAACATACAAAATCTAAAGTAGTTGCTCGACATGTAAACCCAATTCACATCTACGAATGGTCGAACGTGGTATATCATTATTCAAATAAGCCCTTATTTCATCACATGCATTCCTGATTCTGTCTATTAGCATATCTCTTGTGGTTACGGGAGTCTGGTACACTTTTTCTTTTAGAAATCCCCACACAAAGAAATCTAATGGATATAGCTCAGGGGATCGTGGAGGCCAGGCGACTGGTCCTCCACGGCCGATCCATCTTTCTGGACAATTTTCGTCCAGCCAGTTTCTAACTATTTTCGAATAATGAGCTGGACAACCATCAAGCTGGAACCAGGCCAATCTTCTTAAATCTAACATAACATCATACCACATATTTGCATGTTCAGTCTTTAAAAATTCCAAGAAGGTCGCAGCATTTAACCTTGCAGGCAAAGGTAGGGTCCAAATAGTCGATTACGGTAGATACCAAACCACACGTTCACACTAACTTCATGCTGAAAATTTCTTTCCCGAACTGCGTGCGGATTTTCATGCGACCAAATATGTTGATTATGAAAATTTACCACTCCACGTCTAGTGAAGCATGACTCATCGGTCCATAAAACGTTACTTAAAAACTCCCTATTATTATCAGTTCTATCAAGAATCCACTGACAAAATGTGATTCTTCGTTCTCCGTCCCCTGGCTATAGTCCTTGCACAGGTTGCAAATAGTAAGGACGTCTATGGTCATTTCTAAGAATACGGCGAACATGTCTTGCTAAAATTCCCAAGGCACCAGAAACTCTCCAAACACTTGTGGTCGGATCCCTATCAAACTCACGCAGAATCATACGGGTAAATCTGCGCTGACGAACATTTATGTTTTGATCCCTTTGGTGATTTCCAAAACCATTTTAAATTATTTGGCGATGCACTCTTACAAATACTGAGCGAGTTGGATGTCGTCTGTTTGGAAATCTTCGTGCGTATTCTCTGGCTGCATCTGCTGCGTTTCCATTTACAAAGCCATACACAAAATGAATATCCGCTAACTCTTGATTGGAGAATAAAAATGGTATTTTTATAAAACTTACAAAAAAACAGGTAAAAGAAACTAAATTTCGTGCATTAACAATTGCAAGAAAAACGTTTCAGGTTTCAACAGACAACAAAACTGACTGTCAACTAAATGACGTTTAACCTTATTCTGCTTTTAATTTCAAAAATAATTGCAGGCACAGCCTACTTCTAAAAATTATTGAGATATTGACTTTTTAACGTTATTTTATCATAAATAATTGAAAATGCATCGAACCTTAAAAATCGAAATATCTCAAAAACGGCTAACTATAACGGAAATTCACAAGAGAGCTTTTTTATGTTGAAAAGTGCGAAGAATCAGTTTTTTTATTCAAAAAGATAAAATTTTTGGTCATTTTAATACACTACAGATACAGTAGAGAGCGCCCTCTAGCGGCTACAGTACATGGTTCGTTTTGTCGTACCAAAAAACCCTTGTATAAAAATTTTCACTGTTATACATCAAATATTGTTCGAAATATTTAAAAAAAACTATTTTAGAAAGTAAATTTAAACACCCTGTATTACGGAAGCCACGCCCATGCCCATCAAACATACGATCCCAACTACCCCCTTGTTGTAAACGCAATCCGTGGTAAGCGCTGGAAAATTTTGAAAAGTAAATCGTCAATTGTTTCTACAGTTGTAGGACGCCTTTGTGGCTTCCTTGATTTTCCTAGTTTTGTACTGTTCCGTGTCAGCACTCTATTTTCAGGTTATGTTACAAATTGAATATCTATTTGCTTCAAATTTTTCACGCATATGATTTGTCATCTGTTATATCAGCCTGAAATTTCCTACAATTCAAAAAGGAAACAGCCTCACAATAGGTGAGTACTGACGCTGATACGCAGTGGTATAAATCTAGAAATATCCCAGCCTTTCTAAGCAGAGAAAATCGAGGAGGCCATAAAGGCGTCTTACAATTGTAGGAACGACTGACGATAGTGCCTTTAGTTCATTATGAAGTTTTTCTCATATTTTGACATGTTGAATCTGCCCTTCAACTTTTTAGCATCCTGTACTACCCTGTACTCAGTCCAAACATTGAGAAATATAAAACTGTGATACCTTGACGTAAATTCAAGGCAGCGATAAGCCAGAATAATCATGCAATATGACAGCATTGAGCCCTAGTCAAATGATTTCCTAGATAATAGCAGATTTGCGACATTGCTTGAAAAGTGGTAAATGTACAACGCTTTTTGTAGTAAGCATCTTCACCTTAAATGAAAACTTACAGTCAAAACGTAAAATCATTCATCTGCCAGCCACGCCCATTGCAAGACCTCCTACTTGGCAACATGACTGTGACATGACGGTGGCAATTGCATGAGAACCTCTAAATAATACGCTAATCAAAGATTGCATTTTTTTAATATTCAAATAGCATATAAATATTATACAAAGACGTTCTGTTCCTATCGTTTTTGGAGCACCAGACAGTGCATTAATAAAACGCTACTCGACCGGCTTGTCTCCGGCAGATAAGCTCAGCTACTCAAGGCCTTTCGTGCTTGTGTTCAGACTCAAAACAATTATCCATAGTGTTAATTGATGTTCTCGGCCGACCGAAACTCATCTGCATATTATATATCTTTCATTTCGGGATCTTCTGCAGAATTAATGTATATTAGCCGAGCCTCTTACTTACGGCCTTCTGCGCTACAACATCGGAAATTGTGTTGTTTTTTTAAGAGGACAATGTGTCATGTCAAGGTCCGTTGTCCGGAACGATAAACAGAAAATCCTTTAACAATACTGCTTTCGTTTGTTCAAACGACAGAAAGTCAATCAAGTACAGCTGTTTCATGCTTATTGGGAATCATCATCACGTTTTAGGGATGGTCTTTTTGTAGGCAATCGAGCAAAAGCGGAGTGGACTATCTTCTATCGGACGTATACGGTCTATCCAAAAACGATCGCACAAGTATCATCAACTACAAGAATAGACCACAACGAGAGGAAAATGCGTCTTTTGAAGCTGACTGTGGATCTTGTCATAAGCTTATCAGCAGACTTTAATTTACGTTTTTGATAGAGCCTCAAGGTTCTACAATGCAAAACTTTCACTTTTGTTCTTCGTACCTAAAAATGGAAGAAACTGTATCAAGTATATCCTGCAAAAAAGCCTAAAGAGTCGTGTAGCCCTACTTATACTAGAAAACACAGTTATAGGAATTGTTAAACTCGGTAAAAAAACTTCTGAGTCATATTGTGCTTGACCAATTTCATAAAGGAACGATTTTTGGTAGAGATTGCAGATTCGCAAGCATCCTCAAAAGTTTCCCTAAGTATCTCTTTAAACTTCATAAATATCGCTAAATGCAAAGTGGTTACATTCTGTTGAAGACGAAAAATAGTGATTTACCCTCCGGTGGATGTAATCAGTCGGCACGAAAACATTTTGGACTTAGGCGTGACATTTGACAGTAGGATAATTTTAACTATAACAATACTCAAATTATAAATAGTGCTAATAGAGCTTTAGGTTTTATTGTTCGAAGCTGTAAGATTATTATAGAATTGGCTGTATTAAAACAATTGTACTATGTATATGTACGTTCCAAAAGAAATTTCTCAATTATCTGATTTTCAAGATTGATTCACTAAGCGGTGGTCGGACTACTAAGTATTGTTGGAAAGATACCAAGTTGCCTCCTTGAGCGGGAGAAGGAAACACAACTCCTTCGTCTTCTTATATAAAGTATTGCATGGTATTGTTGAATCTTCAGAACTGTTATGACAGCTCCAATTTTTTGTTCTAGAAACAGCGCCTTCTTTTTTGCACCCGTGCAAATATCAACTTGGCTAATAACGAAAGAGTCATTTGAATGAACTTCAACAGAATATGCAGTATTTGTGATGTCTTTTTGTGTTCTCTTCTTCACCTCAAGAGAGTTTTATGGCAGCACCTTTAATAGCGTTATACATTTTATATCATCAATGTTTGTTTATTCTTTTAAATTTGAACAAATTAGTATTATTTTTTTATATACAGGGTGACTTTGAAGTTGAGTCATTAATTTTCAGATAATGATTGTAGAAGGAAGATAAACCAAAATATGTGTGTAAAAATAAAAAAAAATTCAAAAAATGTTACCTTGTCTTATAAAATATCCTCCCGACAAGTATTTCAGTGCGGCCCTGTATTTGATCGTGCGGTCTTGGAGCACCGGCATGCCCTCCCCTGTGAGGTCTTAAGTCACCTGATTCACGAGCCCGTTGTACTACATTAACAAAGGCACGAGGGGTTGGTTGCACTCGATTGGGAAACCGATCCGCATAAATCCGTGATGCCGCGGCAGCATTTTGTAAAGACTCCCCCCTCCCGTAAATAAGAATCATGTCCACAAGTTCAGCATTTTCGTAAACATGTGCCAGTTTTTATTTCGTTTGAGGCAAGCAACAAACACCACTATTCACTCACGCGTTACCGACTGACACATTAACTGAATACAACTGAATAAAATTGTAGTAAAAACATCGTGATAAGCGTTTCAAATTCTTTCGCTTTTTTCTTTCCGATGCGATGAACCGTTAAGGCGGATTATATCCGTTGTTGCCAAACACGAGCACATATTATTATTGAGACAGGGCGGTACCCAAACCTCTAAAGGGCTATAACTTTGTTACTTTAATTTTACCAGAAAAATGTTAAAGGAAAAAAACATTTCTTTTGATCAGATCTACTCACTGTTAAAATAAATGACTCAACTTCGAAGTCACCCTGTATATAAATGCTATTATTGTTACTATTACTATTGTTATCAACAAAAAAAATTCAATTTGGGTTCTTCTACAATATTGTTAAACATTTTGCAACCTAATAGTCTCACGAATTGTGAATACAGGTAATGGAAATCTTTGAGGTCATTGAACGTGCACGGCATAAAAACGGGGTCAAATAGATTAACCCTTCTTCTAGTACAATTGTATTGTACAAGTGCAATGGCATATAAAAAATGTAGGTTTTATCAGAACTTCTAGTGTTCTATTTGGACTTTTCCCTCAGATTGCAGTAATGGGCATGTCCGTACACGGTAGTTCCGTTAATTTTAGGTGTAAAACTGCTTGTCAACTGTGTTTAGTAACTGATTCTGATAGGTTAGGGTGTAAAATATCTTTTTCGAATAATTCGTGTACATACATATATGCAAGGCTCAGTTCAATCAATCTCCAAGGAAGTCCATATTTCCTCTTCTTGTGCACTGCTCTTAAGCAGGACAGAACTAAATGAGCGCAGTGCGACTTGTTCCAGACGCCATCGTTCAAATTCTCCCGTAAGGCGTCGTCGTCGTACTCCCTGAAGCTGGAACCTCCTGGCGGTCGGCAGGGCTCCAAATCCGCAGCTTCGAAAGCGGCTCGTCGCAAGCCGCTCAGCACGCCAGCTTCACCGAGCAGAGCGGCAGCTGCGGCCGCGGCAGCAGCTTCGGTGCACGGGAGAGAGCCGCAGTGCACGTGCATGACACCTGAGCAGTACGCTAGGCTCAGGGCGCAGGATCCTAGGTACCGAGGTGAGTACTTATTTATCTCAATAGTAATGACACGAGCTACAGAGATTTTGAGGTCGGAGATATCTGGAACAGGCTATGATCACTCGCGTCATAGATGGGGTCTATCCAGGTATACAGTGCGTCCGTTTATCATCTTTTATGAGCCCATTATTCGACCTATCAAATGAATTCGAACAAATTAGAAGTAACCAAGCCTATACAGGGTGTATCAAATTCGATCCGCACTAGGTAATCAACAAAATGCCGCTCAGAAAGCTTCGAAACTCAAAGTTCTTCTGGAGAGCGACGGGAAAAGCCGAATTTTCCCACTTTATTTGTTGTGGGATTTCAGAATAAATTCCTCATTAATTGCCTCTACAAGATAGCTTATTAAAGAATTTCAATGTGACGTCTCGCCTCTGGTCCTCAAGCATCGTCTTTATTTATTCTTGAGGACGCCATATTGGATTTTTGCATGGATCAATAGGGTTACCAATTTTAATTCCAAAAATGTATGATACGTCATACATTGACATTGCTAAGCTTTAGTTATTTCATGAAAGCAGAACTCAGGCAGGCCTTGAAATTATCAAACAGTCATGTGTTTCCCCATACAAGATTCATCCCAAAATCACTTTTGTTTTCCTTACTTTATTTGAGATGGGGTTACAAAATAATTTGCAAGTCAACATCGCCATCTTTTCTCCTCTACAAGAAGGAAAAATTGGAATTTCATTATAACGTTTGGTCTCTTGTCCTCCATCTTAATTTTTTCTTATGGACGCCGTATTGGATTTTTGCGCAGATGAACTGGGTTTTTAATTCTTCAACAATATATACTAAGTGACATATAAATCCGAACACCCAGTTTAAATGGTTTTATTTTAATAAAATTTTGTATAAGTACTTAATGAAGCATAATAAGTAAATGATAAAAATTTCAAAATGATTGCACTGCTTTAAAGCCCTTTGACCCTTAATAATGTGTGGATGCACCCTGATGTGCTACGCAGTCTCCAACGCGCCTAGGCATGCTTTTGATCAAGTGGTCAATGTCCTCCTGTGGTATCTCATTCCAGGCAACCACCAACTCCTCTCGAAGTGCTTCTAGAGTCTGAGGAGGACGTTGCAAATTGAGCAATCTCCTACCCATCATATCCCACACGTGCTCAATTGGGGATAAGTCGGGAGATCTTAGTAGATGTCTTATGGGGATTCGG